CACCAGAAACTCAAAGGAATGAAAGGGAAGCAATCATCGATGGCTATAACAACAAATTGGTTTTGTTCAAGCGGAATTTCAAGTAGCCTGTAGATTCGTCGTCAGTGAGGCTGTTGTCGAGTTTTCTCATGATGCCTCGAATAATCGAAAATTTAAGCAGCAGAACAAAGTTCAGTTATCGAATGATGAATGTTTCTTTTTCTAGTGAAATACACGTTTGATTTAGTGAGAAGTTCATGAATCAATTCTGCATCTATTGTAACACAGAATTTCGTAACATATTTATTTGACAACAATTCACGATGTTGTAAATGTACTATGTGACCTGTTTAAACCACCAGGCTAATTAAATTTCCATTGAAAGTAGTTGATGTTCAGGAGGTTTTACTAGCTGTATTGCGAAAATATTGACCTCTATAAGAGCAAATGGACTGACATATGAATGCTTATGTGGTACGAAACGCCAACCTGCAGGAAGTTACTTGCTGTTTACCGAAGTGGCAGTACCGAATTCATACATAAAAGTAGGAATAATTGGCGCAACCTTACTTACTTCTCACTATATTCAAAGTATACCCATCAACTTCATTGTATCTACGCTTTTATTCTTATTATTATTGGTCACTCAGATTCCGAATGAAACATAGGGCTTCAAATGCACATCATCGTTCTACTCTCTTCTCTACGGTTTCTGCATGTTCACTCATAACATTTGATTGCCTTCCCATATGATCGCCTCCATGTCACACTCGAAGACATGCCCGACTCCCCATTTACCAAGGGGATTTCGCTCGATAAACTAACGTGCAGCGTCATTCAACGGTCTTCTGAATGTGCCTTCGGTCCGTCTACATTTCTTCCAACATATATACTGAGCAGCACGTTCCTGGTTGATTATCTACGGTATAAGCAGCATTAATTTTATCATGCTGTTATGAAATTGATGATCACTTCTTGATATTCAATCTAGAAGACAACTGACATTCATCTTCAAGAACTATTCTCATTTGAATTGTGAATGTGTTGACACGAATAATGAACGATTCGCTCGTTTTTGACATATTAAACTACTTCATCCTACTAACACTTTACCACATGAAAACAAAACAACTGATCATTTGAATATTATGCCTACATTGAAAAGACACAGAAGACTGCCAAGAAGAAACAATAAGATCATTATTTACAACTAAATATGTACTTCCTTCCTTTGTGAAGCACTTGACGTGTGGCATTGTCATATAGCTGTCAACCTCATTCAACACAACGCTTTATGACAATGCCACGCGTCAAGTGATCGACAAAGGAACACTCAAAGAGGCGTTTGAAGTGAATACAGGGATGAGACAAGCTGGCTGCCTATTATCAGCGATGATATTCCTAATCGTGGTGGACTGGATTATGAGTCAGACTGTTGGTGCCAAGGAGTCAGGAATACGCTTGACGACCGATAAGAAGACTCTAGAAAATCTGGCTTTCCCAGATGACAAATGTCTAATGTCACACAAACTAGAAGAATTCCAGGTAGGCGAAAAACAACAAACTGGCTGAAGAAGCAGGTAGCGAAGACAGGACTTCAAGTGAACAGAGAAAAGACGGAGGTGATAAAGATAATCAGTGAACAGCAACAACAACCAGCACCAATCACCATCAACGGGAATGATTTAACAGTGGTTGTCTACTTCACTAATCTAGCCAGGAAGCATCGTTTCAACCACAGATCGGCGGAAGGGATGAAGATGTCAAAGTCAGAATCGGAAAGGCAAGATACGCCTTCATCAACTTGAAACTGGTTCGGAAATCTTCCGCACTACACTCAGCGTTAGGAACAAGATTCTCATTTTCAACACTGATGTGAAGTTTGTTCTTCTATACGGGTCAGAGAGTTGGCGACCGTGTCACCAAAGAGGATTTCCAACAGTCAGATGAGGAATTTCACCAACAGCTGCCTTCACTCCATATTGAAGATCAAATGGCCAGAAAGAATAAGCAACAAGAAACTCTGCTGTGGAACAAACCAGAGCGCGAGAGCAGATTGCTCAAAAAATATGCAGGAGAAAGTGGAGATGGATGGGGCATGCATTGAGGAAGACACTGAATTCCATGACACGCCGGGCCATCTCTTGAGTGAAGTCAAACAAGGCCGGTATTGATGTAGGTCTGTCCGCAGTAGCATATTCGGTTACGCACTGTGTCTGAAACATATTTAAAAACGCTTATTTGACATAAAGTTTGAAAATCCGAATGATTGTTCTTTATGCTGAGTGCAACATATTTCAATACCGATTTTGTAGTGGATAATGAAGGTTTGTCTTGGTTTATTGATCTTAATGGCTTTGACATTCCCATCTACGCCACCTGTCGTTAAACAAATCTATTTGTTGTTGTCTGAACGCAGGAAACCACTCAATTTATTTTCCACTGTATTAATTATTCATTTATTATTCAATTCGTTTTGCGTTCTGAGTGGACCATGGGGCTTCAGGCATCAGCTTTGAAGATTCAGTAGCAGTGCTGTTTTCACAGGATGGTGTCGCTAGCCTCAAGTCCAACTTTCCATCTTTGTTGGTGTTTTAACTGACTAGTTGAGGTGAAGGTGTGTGCCCTCCGGACCACATGCATGGTTGGTGAGCACGATACCGCTGAAGTACTTACTCACCGTCCTACTGCGAAACCAAAAGAAACTACCTTGAGTAATGCACAGTCACACAAAGTCCTTAACGACGGCAAAAAATACAGTTGTTTCAGATAAAATCCACGTTACTGTTTAACAAAAATAACACGAATAAGTCGAAATGACCACAAGAGTACCGTTAAGCTAATATACAGCTTAGAGAAGTTTGCAGTATAAAATGAGTAGTGTAGAACAAAATTAGTCAATCCAAATTCAACCGTGAGAAGTATCTGAGAATATTTCCAACAAGGTGAGATCAATACGCCGTTATCAAGAATCCCACACCCACATCTCTCACAGACAGTCCAAGGTCAGAATGAACATCTTTCACTTCAAATCACATTACAATACAATACATTTTCAAGGTGTCGCATTTATGTATTTACAACAGTAGATGACGTTTGGTCCTTGGATGTGATAGGTCTGTTTCCACAGACGTCTAGTGGCAATCAGTACCCGTTGGTGATGACAAAAAGCTCTGTCACGATCCCTGATCAACGCGCGAGAACCGTGACTGACGCAGTAGTTCGACACATCGTTGAAGATCACTGTGTACCAAAGACCATCTTGACAGATGGGGACTCTTGTTTTGAAAGTCAAGAATTCACTTCCCGTTTGCTACAGTTGGGTATCAAGAGGATCATAAACAACACCATATCATCCATTACCGAGTGGTCTGATAGATAGAAATAACCGTACCCTGAAGGAGTGGCTGGGTTAGGTTAGGGTTTAGGGCTTGCTAATTAGGCGAGAAGATGCGTCACTTGGGAGGAGCGTGTATGGAAAAAGCACATTCACAGGGAAATACACACACTTCTTTAGTTACGTGCCCATTAAATATAAAAGAAATGTTGTTAAATGTCTTACGAACAGAGCAAGAAAGATATATTCGGATGACCTCTTACAAAAAGAACTTGAATATATTCACGATTCCTTGACGGAGATGGGGTATCCGAGTGGTTTTACAAAGAAACATATGAAAACATCAGAGAGAAAACCTGAGACTATGACAGCACGGAGAAAACCTCTATTTATTTAATGGTGACTTGTCAAGTAAGATTTTATTCCAGAAACTTTCCAGGAGTATAAAAAGAACGTTTTACACAGCAAACCTATGTTTATGGTTCTCTAGCTGACGGATGATTGGAACGAAAACGAAGGATAAGCTAGATAGTTTTGCCACACATCTATGTGCATTTATCAATTCAACTGTAACTGCGGTGACAGTTATGTTGGGCGTACTACTGAACAGCTTAGCCAACGTGTCATTATTGAATATCTCCCATCATGGTTTGACAAAGGACAGATAAAAACAATCCGTGACTCAACTTTGTCACATTTGGTTGCTAGTGGTCATGTAGTGGAGAAAACGACAGTTTTCAAAGTAATTCACAGTGACCCACCGAATCTTTCCAATAGACTTCGTATTCGTCTACTGCACACAGCTGAGGCAGGCGACAGGCATTCGAACTATTGAGCCTAAACTATGCATTCAAAGAAGTTCGTACAGCCATTATCCTCCCTCTTGGCCTATTAAGACATTTCCAAGTGATAGCTTCTCCACCATCACCTACTTATATTTTCAACCCCTCTCTTATCATCCCTTAATCTTATCACATCTTCATTAAAGCGTATTTTATTTACTTCCTTTACAATCTGAAATTACTTAATCGGTTCATTTGTTTTTACTAGCCTTTATCGACTACTACTGCGTGAACATTTGTTTGTTTAATCATGCTGTTTTTCATTATTCGTGTTATTTCAGATTGCCTCACTTTTTCATCCTTATTATTGATAAAACCAGTATTAATTATTATTATGACTAATTGCACAATTTATATTCACCATCTTATTATCTATCCTATGGACAAAACACCATGATTGGTTTATATATTTGAATATTTCTTTGTAAAGTTATGTGTGTATATTAGAGTTAAGCCTGATGAGATCGAAATGAAAATAATTTGTGTTAGTATCCACTGTACTTTCCTCCAAAATGTCAACGTACACCCTCTTCCTTTGAACTGGTTATCTGGTATACAGATATCTGTCGTTTCACTTAAACTATGTAGATTAGAGTAAAGCTTGAGTGAAGATCTTATTAAAAACTAAAACACGATATTCTTCGTTTATGCGTCTTGTATCAGTTTTATTAATGGGAATGTTCAATGATTTGAAGTGCAAGCAAGACTGAGTTTGTTAAAATGAATTTATTCTTAAAACTCTGAACTTTATTTATGAAATTGAATGTTTAATATATATTCTTTAAGAAAACTACATTAAAGAAAGAATGTTTATGTGTTAATAATACGAGTATAATAGGTGTCCAGTGTTCTTCAGATTATCTCCTTGAAATGGTCTCAGGTCTCTGTATGAAAATAAGATAAGATAGGTTAATTTTGAATAAATATCAAGAAATGTATCAGTATAGAGTGTATTCTAACTGAATTATCATTATTACATTATTATTGTTTCCTTTAATTCCCCTAAAGGAGCATAGAGCTTCAGCCGCATGTCTCCATTGTGTTCGCAGTTCTCTGCCAATGTTTTCAACTGGCTACACGTTTGCTAGCATCCTTTCATCTCCTCTTCACATGACCTACTCCATGTCAACCTTGCACTCATGACCAACTCGCTGCTTGCCATTGGGGTTCCACTCGAGATATAGCATGGAGTGTGATGTCACTCACTTGATGGTTTGTTTTCTCAGAGTATGGCCAGTCAACCTCCATTTCTTCCTGCATATTTGTTGCACACTTGGTTTGTTAGCTTCGAGAGATCCCTCGCTGTTGCTGGTCTTTTTGGCCGGCCATCTGATCTTGAGTAATATTGAGTGAAGACAGCTGTTGATGAAGGTCGGTAGTTTGTTTGAGGTGCTCTTCATGACGCGCAGTGCAAGTCTCTGTTCCGTATAGAAAGTAGCACTGACTTCACGTTGAAGTTGAAAATCCGGATCTTATTTTCATTTCCATAGTGAGTAGTACTGTTGATCTCCCACACACAGACTTGAGTGTAATGAAAGCCTGTCTTGCCTTCCCGATCCCCGCTGCTTTGACATGTTCATCAGTTCTGTCCGCCTTTAGTTGAAACGATGCTTCCAGGTAGTGAGGTAGGTGAAGGAGGTGGCTACTTTCACATTTCGCCCATTTATGCTGAATAATATAATTACTAATTGTTATTTTGCAGGGATTTGATGATTGATTACAGGATTTCATCATGATGAGCTGATGTCGGTTAGGGAACCATTGAAAAACTAGCTAGGCACTACTGGACAGCTGTTTCATCACCCCAGTTTGGGACTGTTCATCAGTACGCACCCATCAGGACCAAGGATAGAACCTTGGATATTCCGATTACAACCACTCAGTGGATAAAAAGACTGTATACAGCTGCTTAAAATATGAATGGGCGACATATTAGTGATGACCAGCAGATGAGCTAAGAAATCACTTGACAGAGTATTCCCTGAGGTTAGATAGATTTCTATCAACCAGACAGCATGTTCTTTAGTTCACTCAGAGGTCGACACTTATGCTTACTTTGTCAGCTTCAACTGTGTCTATCAATTTAATAGGGCGAGCAATATTGAAGTTAGGCGTCGAGTGTTAATTAACGAGGGATAGGAAAACAATCGACCAGGCTGTGAAGCTATATCGACTGAGATGGTTAGAACATGTTTTACGTATGCTAGCGTAGCCATCGCCTTCTTTGATGAGCAGTGTTAGATGACATAGAGTCAGGTTGTCAAACCAAAACATGGCTTCATCAGTCGATGAAATCCACAACAGTTAATTTAAGTCACGTAGGAAGATGTAGACTTCCTGATTGGGGTCCACGGGACGGTAAAAACCAATGATAGCTGGAGACAATTGGTGATATAGCCGGCTGAGATCCTTCTCAATGGCTGGTGCAGATACATCCAATCCTTGTGACTTATAATACTCAATAAAACTCTCGCCTTATTCTCTTGCTTTGTGTGCTACATGGAATATGGCGACTTAAACTTAGTCAGTCAGTGAGTCAGTGTCTATCAATTTGCATTTCTATTGAGATTAGGAGCGAGTGAATCTTTGAGTAGCGCAATTATGTGACATCTGATTGACACACACCATCAAGTAGACAACTTGAATTCCTTTGGAAAGATAAGTAAACAAGCAAACTCAAGTTTGTTGAAGTTCAAAGAAGTCATCGCCATCAAACAGTTCTAAACTTGACTTATGTATTCAAATGAAAACTGTAGTAATTCTTTCTCTACTTTGATGACTCCTCTTTCAAGCACAACTGTTTTTATCGTCGTATTTATTAGATGTTACGGTTGATTTTCTTTTCACTCTTACGTAGTTATATTGTGATTTATTAAACTTCATGCCTCATAAATCTGATAATGAACTAAATGAGCTTAACTCACAACAGGTTTTCATATCTCACCTGTTTATTAAGACGGACTTGACTTGTTTGAAGTTTAACCACGAATAGAAATCAGTTAGAGAACCATTGAAAACCATCATGGAATAGTGGACTGGGAACTGTTTCGTCCGAGTTTGGGACTCATAGTCCACACCAATCCGGGTTCGAACGCAGGACCACCAGGTTGCTAGACAGGCCTTTCAGACATTCAGCTAAAAGGACCAAGGATTATAAGACTGCTGTTTCATCCTAGTTTGTGACTCTGGGGCGGATATGCATTCACGACCACACCATTGATCGAAATAAGAACTATTAGGTCACAAGGCGAGAAGGACACACAATGGTCCATTCCATCATGTTTAGCGTCATTATCGTGCACTGTCATATGTAAGTGTCTGTAGTGAAACATTGCAAAGTGAACCCTACTGGTTACCCTGAGGAAATCAATGCTTGCCAATCCATTTTTATCAGACTAGATCAAACAGCAAAGGTAAACTGCTAATATATCCGAGTGGTGCTCTCTCTGTTTGATGTACAATTACTTATACTTCAACTTCGTCAGATATGTAAACGCCTTTGACAGAGTTGACTGCGAAGTAATTTGGATAATGCTTCAACACTACAGAATGAAGTGCCACAAACCTTTATCAGCCTCATTCAACAGCTGTATGACAATTTCAAATACCAAGTGATTCAAAATTTGGTGAACGGGATCGTATAACACGAAGGGAGAACTCAGAGATACTTTTTTGATGGGGAGGGGGACAAGAAGACTAAAGAGGATTTTGACTTCGCAGACGGTTTATGTCTAATATTACACAAGCTTGAATATCTTCAGGAGAAATCCAACAGACTTGCAGAAGAGGTAAGCAGTGAAGACAGGATTTCAAGTGAACATAGAGAAGACGAATGTGATGAAGTTAACCGACGACCACCACCACCTCCAGCAACATCAACAAGCACCGGTCACTATCAACAGAAGGAATTTGGAGGAAGTCACTCCCTTCATTTATCGGGCGAAGTATCGTTTCATCTAAAGGTGACAGTACGAATGAGAATTTCAAAGTCAGTCAGTTCACAGAGTTAGCGCGTCACTAAAAGCATATCGAACAGGCTTCAGACTTTCATCAACGTCTGCTTTCGCTCCATCCTGCAGAATAGATGCCCAGTCAGCAAGCATTAGCAGCAAGGAAATCTGGGAACGAACCAGTCAAGAACCTGCCGCCTAACAAAGATTTCCGAAGGAAATCACGTTACTATGGAGACTGCCGGGTGATTTCGTGCACCAAGCCGTCGGATGGAATTCAAAGTGGACAAATTAGTCTTTTGAAGGTGAGATGAAGGAAGTAGTTTGACGTGAAGATGACAGGCGTTTGGATATTCGTGGGAGCAGGTGAAGAGGACTGCGAAGAACAAGAGAAAATGGAGACACGTTGTTGAATTCCAATTCCAATTCCGACTCGTAAAACAAGGGAATAATATTGATGCCATATTTGGAACACTGAAATGAAATGAGAAACAAGCAATTCTAGCAACAACAACACAAAACAATTTGTCATACAAACATACTTCATTTGTCGATTTCTTCCTCCATGGCACGTTTCATTTCAGCTATTCTTTTACTTTTAGGTATTGCTAAATATTCAGTTGAGATGATGATTAGCATTCATATTATATATGTCCAAACCAAGTTCACTTTCAACAGTGTGAAAACATTTGGGCATTGGGTATATGATATTCATTATAATAAAGGTTTTCTTGTATTTCCCAATGAATGAAAAACAAAACGATATTGCTGCTTTTACTGACGTTTCGCTATTTAATGCTAATAGCTTTATCAAAGTATTATTAAACCAGAATTTACAAAATCTCAGTATATATATAACAAACAGTTAGGGGGTGAGAAAATAGACATAGGTCAAGTTAAATACCAATGAAGACCAGTAAATCAAATAACAAAGGTAATAGTACATCTGTTATGGTATCAAAATAAAGTTTACTAACTTGATCATCGTTCGTCAGTCCTGGGTCATTTTTAGTTGTCAAGTTGGTCAGTTGGTTGAGATAAGAAAACCAAGTGTAGATTGTTGGATTTGATCAGTGTTTAAAACTATAAAAGCAGGGTGTGTTTACATAGTGAACTCGCTTATCTTATTTGTGTTGATTTTGTCATTTCATGGGGGAGGGTGGGGTGGTGTAACCAGGTCAGATTCTGTTTTAGTCCATCATTCCTATTCAGGCATTTTGGATTCCACTTGATATGAAGTGCTTCTGATATTAGACTCTCTTTATGATTTCTGAAGTTTTTCTGAATTATTTCAATATTGTCAAAATCGATTTTGTGGCCTGATTAGATGAATAACCAAATAAATAGAGGTCAACCGTAAGGTCAGTAGACATGTGTGAAATAGATGATCGGAAAGTAAAGTACATTCAGAAATGTGAACATGTGAATATAATACGATGGAAAAATTGGATGGGTGAAATGTTGTCAAAGTAGTAGACTAGATAAAACAGTGTTAGAATAGGATAAGATCAGAGAGTGCCCTCGTCTAAGAAGACTTGAAACAACTGATACCTTTACACTGATAGGGTGTGATGATCCGAAGTCTAAATATTTATTGCAGTGGGTTTTCTTCCTGAATATAGGTATATTAAAATATCCGTCTTCCCTCCTCTCAACTAGGCAAGCAGTCAAGAAATGGTAGTTCATCGACGTCTGATTCTGCTTCCGAAGTAAACTGGATTCTGAGAGATAGGTTGTTAAGTTTGCCAAAGAATGAACTGTGTAGATCTCGTTTTAGCACTACAAAAGTATCATCTACATATCTTAACCATATTTTAGGAGTGAGTATGCTTGAAAAGATGTTATCTTTGAATCTATTCATGAAGAGGTCAGCGACGTTTGGGGAGACTGGTGAACCCATAGCAACACCATTTGTCTGTCTATATAAACTCCATTTAAATGTAAAATAATTACTTTCTAGACAGAATTTCAAGCTCTTAATTATTTCCGTTGTGTCCAGTGGACATCTTTGTGATAGCGTTGTATCCGATTCTAGTAGACTGGAAATGATATCAAGACTTTCGGTAATACGGATACTAGTATATAATGAGTTAATTTTATCATAGCTTACCATAATGTCTTCTTTATCAATTTCTCGGTGTTCTATTTGGGATTTGAAATCATATGAATTTCTTACAATATTTTGAGTGTCCTTTTGTAGTGGTTGTAGTATCGAGAGTAAGTATTTAGATAGGTTGTATGTCGGTGAGTTGGTGAAATCTATTACTGGTCTTAATGGAATTGTGGGTTTATGTATCTTTGGTTGACCGTAGAATCTTGAAGGTACATAAGATTTTGGTTTTAGTTTAAACCAGAGAGAATATCCAATTTTGGGTTTCATTTCTTGAAGGAGTCTGTTTGTATTTAGTTTCATTTTGTTGAATTCGGCGGATTTCTTCTTCTCTTTAATAACACTTTGATAAAGCTGTTAGCATTAAATAGCGAAACGTCAGTGAAAGCAGCAATATCGTATTGTTTTTCATTCATTGGGAAATACAAAAACCTTTATTATAGTGAATAGCATTCATATTAATCATGAATATTGAAAACTTACATTTTAAGTATTCAATTCTTTGAACTTCAAGGTCCATGACTTTGTGTCTTAAATCCCCTTGAATGAAGAGAAATTTAATAATAATAATAATAGTAATAACTTGCATTATTCCAAAACAGTATTGATGATACAGTGAGGCGCTCTCAGAATTTTCTTCAATATTGTCTCTCTAACTTACTCGACAATAGCAAAGACAAAAATCAAACAAAATAATATCACAGGATTGATAATGGCAGTCGTTTCGGGATTTTGATTGACAGCAAAGTCAAAAATGTACAGAGGCGTAGAACAATGATGATGATAATAATAATGCGAATGGCTAAGTTATCAGTTGATTGTAATAGTGTTGTAACGACAGAAGACAAGGGCCAGGCAACAGATCGTTTATTGAGAAAGTCAAGAGATATTTATACACTTATATGTGCATTATTATTATAAGCGTTATTGCTAACGGTAATTCTGTTATCTGTTTGTGGCCGTTTCTCAGAAAGTTAAGCCATTTATCTGCGAATCATGTTTCTATACTTTAACTCCGCTGTGATAGGCTGTTGATTTTCCCAAGGTTAAACGTTGTTATTGTTTTTTCTCATTACCCTGATTTGAGAAGTGAACATTGACGTAAATTGTTGTCTAAGATTTTAGCTAGCAGACAGGTCTCACCGCACTTGTCCCCCATCAAAGTTGGTTCAGTCTTCTTGGTTCTGATAGCTATGTTCTTTTGTCTTGCTGTCTGAAATTCTAGCACTCGCCGACGTTCATCCAATTCTCTTTGTTTACCTCAATGATCGAATACACTTGACCCCGTCTCACACTGACCATGTGTGGTCCTTCCCACTTTAGAGGCTGTTTGTCTGACCCTGGAGAGCATTTGTCGGTTTTTCGCCTCACACTTTTATATGCTGCCTTCGTCCGACTTCTCAGCAACGTCCCGAGTCACAGCTTCATCGCGGACGGATCTTCAATGCCACCCAACTGCGCAAAAGCCTCGAAGTCCTGCCAGAAGATCCATATGTCCCCATAAAACATTGCAGGACATAGGCTTTCAATTTGTTGGCAGGCAGCGACATCAAATGTGACGACAGAAGACATGGGCCAGGTAACACGTCGTTTATTGAGAAAATCAACAGATATCTATAGATATTTATGTACATTATTATTCGTTATTGTTAGCAGGGAGTCAACGTCTTCTGTTTGGTTGTAATCCTGCTGAAGGTTATTCTGTCATCTCTTTGTTCCCGTTTCTTAGACAGTCCGCCAATATATCTGCAAATCGTATTTGCACACGTTAAATCTGCTGTGATTGGTTGTTGAGTTCCTCAAAGTTAGTCTTTGTTCTTGTTTTCTCTCCTGGCGCTGATTCGGGACGTAAACATAGACGCAAATGTTTGTCTATAATGTTGGCTTGCAGACACCTTTCATCACAGTGTTACCAGAGATTACAAATAAGGGAGAATAAAAGAGCCGATTATTATGCTAATAATATGGAAAGTCATCCGTTCCCCGAATAACATTGTTTTTATCACATAGAACTGCGGCGAGTGGTTAGCCAAATAGTGTGTCATTGAGTTTATTAACTTGGTTATTTTAATGACTTCTAGTCCCAACTGATGAGATACAAGTGAAGGGAGAGAAGTGAGAGTAAGCGGAGTGTTTTGATGGTCAGATAGTTAGAATCAAGACCATTTCTCATCCGAGTTCAGGTGTCTATCAACTAGTGTAGTAACAAGCTGACTAAATGGCCAGCGACTTTATTTCTCGCCCTTCAGAAAACCTTCAATACCCTTCGCAATATATGACATAGTACTTTTTCAGCAGCCCAGGAAAAACTAGGGGGGATTGGAGAGGCAAAGTACAACAGATGAGATTTAACAAAATGTAAAAGAAAAGGTTGAGTGATTCCAGATTATCTTAACTTCCTAATGTAGTGGGTTGGACGGGACACTTTCTTAGAAATTGACAAAATATGGGACGACTGATCAAGAAGTGCCAGAGAAGAGAACTATTCTTGCTTTTTAAAGTTAGGCTGGCTAAACTTACATCTAAGAACCTTGAATCTAATTTATCGTGTTTCTATTGATATTTACGTGTCAGAGTAAAACGTCAAATCGTATTATTTACTGTCATGAATTTTTTAAATGTTTACGACCAAGTGACTTTCAAGTTTGTAAAAAAATGTAAAAGAAAACATCATGGTCGATGGCAGTGTGCATTTTTGGTGAGAGCGGTCTGCAAGCCAAGGTTGTAAACAACAATTTGCGTCTATGTTTACGTCCCGAATCAGCGCCAGGAGAGAAAACAAGAACAAAGACTAACTTTGAGGAACTCAACAACCAATCACAGCAGATTTAACGTGTGCAAATACGATTTGCAGATATATTGGCGGACTGTCTAAGAAACGGGAACAAAGAGATGACAGAATAACCTTCAGCAGGATTACAACCAAACAGAAGACGTTGACTCCCTGCTAACAATAACGAATAATAATGTACATAAATATCTATAGATATCTGTTGATTTTCTCAATAAACGACGTGTTACCTGGCCCTTGTCTTCTGTTGTTACACATTGAAATATATATTTGAAGTGTATGTAAACCTTTTTTTGAGCATATATACATAAATATTATTTTATCCCTTTGCGTTTCCAGTGGAACAAAGAGCTGCAAGCTCCAGCTTTAAATTTTTGCTAACAATGGTGTTTATTTTTACGGGATAGAGTTGTTTGCCTCATGCCCAACCTTCTCTTTTTACTGACCTTACGATTGGCTTTGTGAGGTTAAGGAGTGCCTTGTCGGTTGGGGATTGAACCCGGATCCACATTAGTGGCTGGCGAGGATCCTACCACTAAGCTTTCGTCTCAAAAGTTTGAACATGAAGAGACAATAATGTCTTGTCTAATAATGAAATATTATTACTTGGTTGTCTGAGAAGTTGTAAAGTCTTTTGTTTGGACACTAGTGACTAGTGTGGTGTGTCTAGTCCTTTCGCTGGTGCAGACTGAATTCTATCAGTCAGGTTTGCAATGTGGCCACTATTCTACGTACCTCGCCATCATGGTTTCCAATCAAAATACCCACTATCGTCCTACAGGAGGTCAATCGCAAGCCCGAATAGCTCAGTGGTAACGTCTCTGACTGCAGGCGGCACTAGAAAACGCGGGTTTGAATCTCAGAAGGGACATGAGTTCCTTCAAGGTGATCGCAGATACGCCTTGCTGACTGACTGGTGAATGCCAACTAGCACGAAACCTAGGTCCAAAGCTTCCGGTCGACTGCCTCCGACTATCTAATATCAGCAAAGTTGTAAAGTCATTAGATAAGACTAGACAAGTTACATTTTACCATAAGTCCATTGGAGTAGTTTCACAGTGCTAGACTGATTGACAAAAACTACTATTTCATCATTCTCAGGCAAACCTATCTAATTCTTCTGATAAGACTTATTGTATATTCTTGAGAATAACACATTGAAGCGAAAAATATTTTGGTTTCAATAAGATTTCATCAGGCCTAATTAACTCTTACATACCTAAATAAATTTAGAAATAAATATTAAAATGTATAAACCAATCACGGGGTTTCCATGACCTTGAGCTCGGCTTTTAGTACGTCCTTGAGATTTTTCTCTTATGGATTTGTAAATTTTATCTATGTCAATGTGCCTGTTAATTGCTAATTCACTGGAACACCAGGCTTCCGAAAGTTCTCTGGCATACTTGATGTTTCCTATTCCTAATATTTGAACATTGTTTCAGTCGAAATGATATCCCTAGTTGTTTGTATGCGCTGAGTGATATCAGCGAGTGAATATCATGTCTTTTGACGGTTAGTTTGTGATCATGGATACGAAGAAGAAAAAGAAGAAGAGGGCGTCCACCTTGGCCAGTGTCTTGTTTCCGCAATCGTTGCAATTTTTTTATAGATGATGTTGGTTTTATCTTCTTTCACTGTTATGTGCGACATCAATTTCAAAAGGTTTGAAGAGTCTGAGATGACCTTTTATACATATGGTTGGATGGTTTTCTTTGTGTTTAACTTGGGGGCCTTTGATTCGGCAGATTGGCTTGAGGGTAGATGTCTACAAATGAAGCTTCTTGGATATCTATTCTTTTTTAGAAGACGTTCATGAGATATTTTTGTTGAATTTTCATAAAGGTAGGTATGCTGTAGTGAATCCCAGCTCTCTGGAATAATGCTTGTATGCAACTGTTTTTGTGACTTATCGGGTTGTTTCTGTTGTGTAATTGATTATTTGATCTGTTTGCATTGAAATTCTAGTTTTCCTGTGGTTGTTCTCTTGATCAAGGTTTAAAAAAATAGAATTTTCTTCGTCGGATTCCTCAATTTGTGAGTTTTGACTAAGTCGTACCTTGCAGGTTTAGCTTAGGGATATTTTCACTTCAGATTGGAAAATTATGATATTGGGATAGTTTCCAGTATACTTTCGTCCTTCTTCACACTGGAATCAGTACATGGTCAACTTAGAGAATTAGGTCTAATAAATCGTTCACCCGGTTCGACCTTTATTCTTCCGTTCATATACCACATTAGTTCGTTTATTAAATGTATCACACAGCGAGTGAAACAGTATTATTTACTGGATGAAAAAGTTACGAACAAAATTTATTCGTGTTTATAATCATATCAATTATAATCACACAACTTTGAAACTTGAGTTTTATAGTTCTCTTTGTTCTCTCCTATTTGTCGTCGTAGGGGTAGTAGAATTTTCCAGATATCTTGGAGAGGTGTTGAATCATTCCTATTACATGTATTTGCAGTTGATTCGATAAACAAAGCTTCTGTTGTCAATCTCTCCCTCCACCCTGCTGTTACATCACATTTTAATACTGTCATCTTATCCCATCCTATTTCATGGTTGTGTGTAATTGCATGTAGTGAGTGCTATGGCTGAACTATTCTTTAGATTTCTTATGTTATTCGGGTCAACTAATCTAGATTTTTACAGGTTTTTATGCTAGGCTAGTCTGAGTGACTGACTGACTGACCCCGTTCTACTACTTCGCTCTGTGTATTTGACCTGAAAGTCATTGCAGGGTATTAGATAAACTAAACTGTTTTGTTTTAGGAGCTCCACAGGATCCTTTAAACGACAAAGCTTGTTTCCAGTTGAGTTCGTCGGTGGTTAGAATGCCAGCCACTTTTATTCCTGCCTTGTTAGGAATTCTCCGACGTAAGGTTTCCGAGGTTCCTTCTCTGTATGGAATTACTACAGATGATTTAGATTCCTTATTGTTGGTGTTGTCATCATACTGTGCATGACGTCACTAATGTTATTACTATTATTAGTATTATCACTATCACTACTGTCATTATTTTTTTTATTTTCACATTTCCTACATGCTTTCTGATGAATTTATCAGGGTAATTATTAAGTATCAAAGCTTCTCTTATGCGTCTCATAGATTTTTCTTCATAATACTCAGTTTTTGAACTCTATTGTTATTTAAACATTTCACCAATCCTATTTTCACTGACATAGGATGGAGCATTGTCTCAACTACAGGAGGAACGGACGAGGATGTCAAATCGAGAATCGGGAAGGCGAGAAGCACATTCATCAACCTGAAACCAATCTGGAAATCTTCGTCACTCAGCATCAACAACAAAATTTCGGATTTTCAATACAAACGTCAAGTCAGTCAGTTCTTCTATACGGATCAGAAACTTGGCCAGTGGGTCATAAAGAATATTTCCAACAGCCTGTTGCAGACCTTTATCAACAGCTGTCTTCGCTGGCTCTATACTGAAGATCAGATGGCCGGAAAGAATCACCAACAAGAAACTATGGGAACAAACAAAACAAGAACCAATCGCTCAACAAATATGCAGGAGGAATTGGAGATGGATTGGACACTCGCTGAGGAGGCCGCTGGGTGACATCGCGCGTCAGGCCAACGCTCGAGTGGAACCCGAAAGGGAAGCGGCGAGTAGTGGGACTTCCAAGAATGACATGGAGGAGATGGTGTGAAGAGGAGTTGAAACAGCATGGAATAACATGGATGCAGGTGAAAAGTACAGCAGAAGAGAGAAGCAAGTGTAGACGTGCAGTTGAAGCCTTATATTCCACTAGGAACCCAAAGGAACAGTATTAATAATAATAATAATAGGATGGGATGATCGGAAGTCTGTTTGAATGTGTGGATTTCCTGTAAACACTAGTGTTCAATTTCCCATCTTCCTTCCTTTCTACGCTACAGACTAACATTAGAAGCTCCCCTTCCTGACTCTACAATTCATAAGTGAATTGAATTGCCTCCACTTTTGAGTTAATGCGTGCGAAAAATCTTTCTATATATCCTGTGTTCTAAGTACAGTGAATGTGTCATCTATTCATATAAGCTGAAAAATATTTCGAGGTGGAATAAAGTAAGTAGCTAAGTGATTTCACTTAGCCCAGTTTTCTGATGTCATACATTAGAAAAATGAAAAGAAAGATACAGACAAATAAAACTCTATCGTTATGACCGGAACTACGATGTTGTGGACTACGAGCGAATGACTAACTTAATCTACTGGCTAATCTGTCTTAATCGCCCATCAACAACAACAATAACACCACCAGCACGCAAAAACGAAATAAAACTATGGACGTCGATAAGAGAGCTTAAACTGTCTCAAACAACAGTCAGAATGCTAGACAGAAGCTCTGTATATATACAGTTTGAATGACCTTGGAAATGCAGTAATCTAGTGATGCATTTAAAGTAGTAACAGCCAATAGGAATCAAGAAATCCAAACAGGAGGAAAAACAAAAGGCTCATGCCAGTATACGATAACTGCTTAAAATAGAATTTGCAAGGTTTCACAGAAAATTAGGCAATTAAACTGGTTGTATATAACATATATCAAAATAGAGAGAAAACATTAATTTAACTTACATAAATGGGAGTAATATTTATTCAAAGCTTGATTGCTCTGAGTGTCTTTTCGTTTTACTTCCACATCCTCTGTGAAATGCAACACAATAAGTAAGGAAGGAGGAGGCAGAAAATAGAAAATTAAACGCTCCTGTAAACATTTCTTCATACATTTTCAACACGATACTTTTTCTGATAGTTCACAGACGAACGTTTACAGTTCAGTACCCATCAACCACAAACTGAAGCTGGTAATTTCTGTTGCAACAAGAATCTATAGACCCTGCAGCCACAAATCAGTAGGAAAAGAGATCACTCATTTAAGGAAGACACCACCTGAAATTGGCTACCCCCGACCCACACTTCACAGAAAAAACACAAAAAGCCAAAAATCAACAAACAACAAAAAATCTCTATCCCAAGGAATATGCTATACATGAATGTGGCGTTCAAAAGAAGCAATAGAGATCTCTGAAAGTGAACCAACCAGGAACCGATTGTGAAACAAATAGGCAGGAAGAAATGGAGATTGAATAGCTGGCCATACTCTGAGGAAACCATCAAGTGACATCACTAGACAAGCCATCGCACGAGTGAAGCTCGAAAGGGATGCGGCGAGTTGGTCGTCAGTGCAAGAGTGACTTGGAGGAGGTCATGTGAAGAGGAGATGAAAACGTGTGGGCAGACTTGGAGCCAGGTGAAGACTCTAGCAGTGAACCGAACGCAATGGAGACGCACGGCTGAAGCCCTATGTTCCTCTAGGAATTAAAGGAAACAATAATAATAATATAATAATAATAGAGCTCAACAATTGTGGTGACTGTTGAGACTGACAATAGATAATCGACTGGAGTAGAAATATGCTTCGGAAGTCCCGTATTCACCTTCTTACTGTTTAATTTGATACCTTAGGCATATTTTTGGTCAGAAATGCTGGACTCGATGCTACAACGGAATATAAATGAAAGAAAATGCTGTAGCATTTGAAATATGGATTAGGCTTTACCTGCAAACGTCTTGCCAGCGAAGTCATTCTGTAATTTTTGAGTTCTATTTAATAGGACTGAAATTAAAGAAATAATAAATGAAAAATCAGGCAGAAAATGTGATTTCAGTAGTCTTATCAGACCAAGATGATTTTTAGCGAACAATTTTGGTTAAGATAAATTCTTCCTCAGGCTCTACACAGTTACAAATTCATGAATCCATTATGATACATATAACCAGTTATTCGAGGCATGTGAAAATATTATCGGAAACTGAATTTTTGGCGTACATGTATAATACGGAGTGGTAGTTCGTTATTTAATATTGTCAAATGAACGTATATTATAAAATATGTGCAGTCATCCAGAACATAAGTTAAAGTGTGAATAGAATCAGACACAGAGCTATCACAAATATGTTCACTGGACACAACGGAAATAATTAAGAGCTTGAAATTCTGTCTAGAAAGTAACTGTTTTACACTTAAAGGGAAATTATACAGACAGACAAATGGTGTTGCTATATAGGTTCACCAGTCTCCCCAAACGTCGCTGACCTCTTCATGAATAGATTCAAAGATAACATCTTTTCAAGCATACTCACTCCTAAAATATGGTTAAGATAATGTAGATGATACTTTTGTAGTGGCAAAACGAGATCTACACAGTTCATTCTTTGGCAAACTTAACAACCTATCTCTCAGAATCCAGTTTACTTCGGAAGCAGAATCAGACGTCGATGAACTACCATTTCTTGACTGCTTGCCTAGTTGAGAGGAGGGAAGACGGATATTTTAATATACCTATATTCAGGAAGAAAACCCACTGCAATAAATATTTAGACTTCGGATTATCAAACCCCATCATCGCAAAGGTATCAGTTGTTTCAAGTCTTCTAAGACGAGCGCACTCTTAGAAAACGGATGAAAAGTGAAAGGAAGAAGAAATATTACACATTACTGAGATTCTCAAGCAAAACAACTACCCAAAGAACTCCATCAACAAAATCAACACTGATATAAAATATGATCAAAAACGTATTCCGAAGACATGGATCTCAACAGGTGTCATTCCATATAGAGCGGAGGCGTCACACGATATCAGAAGAGTACTCAATAAGCACAACATCAGCGTTTTCTTCAAAACATCAGACACACACTACGAAACAACCTTGTCCATATAAAAGACCGAATCCCTAAACATTCTCTATCGAATTTTGTCTATAAAATAAAATGCTTGCATGAATTGTGATACCACATACATCGGGCAAACATCGGCAGAGAGAAATCAAAATCAGAAGACATGAACACTGTAGAGCCGACTCTGTTTAACCACCAAGAAATCCACTTGAACTAGAAAACCTTAAAAAATCACCAGGCATAGGTGGTGGTCTACACACTATAGAATCAGGTCGCCAACTTACGACTTAAAATATCACTGCGTATATTACCTCTGAACTGTGCTCTTAAATAAAGCGTTTTCTTATTCACCGTGTCACGTTGAGTTTTATCGGTTCTCTTGGAAATATACTTCTTTACAAAATTGGTAGGAAAACCATTTTCAGCAGGGTATTTTTAAGGTTTTCGATTTCATCTTCAACACAATCTTCAGTGGGTAGTTGCCTAATTCAATCACCAAGAGAAGGAATCAAGTTTCGTTTATATTGTACTGGTAGGAAACTGCGGAAATGGATATATTGTCCATTGCATCTCGCTTTTCTGTAGATGTTTTGCTTCAATATGCTGTCTGGCCTTTGAGTAAGAAAAACATCCAGAAGAAAAATTCTTCCATGATATTGTTCTTCGTAAGCGAATTTAACTGCCGGGTGCATATTTTTAATGATCTGCATCAGATGTCACAAACGACGATGAATGTATCGTCTACATAACGGTATTAATATTCAAGTTTGTCTAACACCTCTCCGAGGACCATTTAGCCAGGAAAATTTCAACCAATAAAGGATCTATACGGGAACCACATCGATTTGAAGTTAAGATTCTTTGTTATTCAAGAAGGAGTAAAGAATGAACGTGTCGGTGGCACAGCTGTAGAATGCTCACCGACCAAGCAGGTGGTCTGGAGTTCGACACCCGGCCACTGACGACCTCTTTTAACTCAATAAGTCAGCAGTAAGACTGGCAAAGAAGGAAGGTTGAACATGAGGCTAGCAAACCAATCCTCTAAACATAATCACCATTGCTACATCCAACGATAACATGCTATTGTCCACTATGATCATATCTTTCATGTTGTCAACAAAAGCATACATATCTTTTGCACTTTATTTCACCAAATCCCTACATAGTGGCTAAAGCAGACTTACTGGCTATTTAGCTGTTAAATGAAATGGTGAATTTGACATATCACAGGTAGAGGGTGTGATTTTACTGAAATAACTTACAACTAACTTTTGAAAATTAATCTGATTCTCGATAATGACTGGCTGAAGAAGGAAATTGCCTGTAGTTCTAGTGAGAAGTTGTGGCCTATGGAGTTCACCCAGTCAGTAGTGAGAGATGACCACCAAGTCAAGGAGGAGTGCCCAAATGTCCCGCTTTCGAAACCTGGCGACAGTGAGTGAGTATTGTCGATGAGTCTGAAACCAAGGTGATGAAATTAGCTGCCTCCACAGTACTGCCTTGTGGTTTTCAATGTTTGGTCTCAGATCACATTTAATATATTCGTAAACTTTGCCTTTTTCCATGACCTTATATACTACTGAATGATTAAATTGAGTAGAGGTATACTACCCATGCATTAGTCGTTAGTGTTTGCGAGCCAGGTAGAAGTTATCTGAACTCCTTGTTCGTTTCAGGGTGGGGGGTGGAGGGCGAAAGGCGACATTATCCGTGGTCTACTCAGTTTCGATTGCTAATTAATTTCAGAATATATTTCTTCTAAACTAAAATTCTGAGCACTATTCATGAATTAAAGAGTATCGTCTAATGTTCCATCCTTGCTTAAGCCCTTCTGAATCGATCATTCCTTGACTCTTTGGCATGCCGAAATAAATCCATAAATCTGGACTACCATTTTGTTCCACTTTAGACATAGCATATTTTAACACTGTCATTGTATCACAAAGTGGATAGCAGAACTCCTGGAACCATAAAGAAGTCAAGTCTGTACCTATACTGTATATGATACTTTTGAATTTATGAATGGCGTTAATGATAATCAACGTTACTGGGAAAATTATGCTATCACTTGATATATACTCCGTGTTTATTAAGATGTCCATTGAATGAAACATTACGCCTTTAAATAATATGAACATTGGAATGCCTTTAGGATACCTAAATGAGCTCGTACTTCGATGAATGCGAAATGCACAATCTCTCTTTTCAACAGAGAAATCTATAGACAGACAGATGGGTTCCATTATGGGTAAAATTTATTTTGATAAAATCTCACAGTGTTGTTATACAGTAATAATATTTACTGATGACCACGTTTCGAGTACAATTTATACACTGCTACCCATGAACATATCAAGACACTACTCACACAACTTTTTAACTTCGTTTATATAACTCCATTATTTCAATTCATTTCTCGTGATTTCATTGGTAGTAGTATACCATATAAGCAAGGGGACATTCTAGACCCTACGTACGAATTGGAGTGGCATTTAAACCTACAAACTCACTCAGGAAGGAAGGACAAGCTCTGTAGGTTTAAGGACCCAGTTGTCCCAATTAGACAAAATAGTATAACTTACAAAATACCTTTCAGTGACACTTAACTAAGACTGCCTTAACAGTTAACGGATGACATGAATTAAAGTCTATATACCTATTAGACTGGGCAGTTTACCTTCTTCTATTCGTTTTATTTTACAATCTAACATCACAACTAATTCTCCTTGTTCACTTTCTGATTCCAATGTGAATTTTATTCTCTTTACTAGTGAGTTTACATGTCTGAAGAAGCTGGACATATGCTCTGTAGTAATAGTTCTATTGTAATTTCAACAATCATATTTTAAGTGATTTCAGTTCACAAGAGACTCCAAGCCTAATGAACAAAAGACCAAGCCTACCTTAGTTAAGTGTCTAACAAATCGAGCAGTAACACTAAGTAGTACAAGAAAAGACCGAAAAGATGAAATGAAACAGATAGGAGAAGAAGAAGCCTTGGTGTTAATATAACTAACTATCCTACAATATTCATTAGGAAGATTAGAAAAGGTCAAAAGCAAAATAAAAATAACACGGAAACTAATAATGATAACATAAATAAGAGAGAATATAAGGCGTCTACTGTTATACCATGTAAAGAGGGGACATCTGAAACACTATGTAGTAGAAGTCCTAATAAAGCAGGAATTGGAGCGGAATTTAAGCATACAGACTCACTCAAGAAGGAGAAGATCTGTAGGTTAAAGGACCCAGTTGACTCAGTTGAACAAAATGATATAATTTATAGAATATCCTGTAATGGCTGTGAATGTGGTCAACTACATAGGTCGAACTAGTAGGTAGGGGTAGTCAGATTGTCAGAACATAAGAATTTAGCTAAGGTTAGAATGGTTGACCCCGTGAAGATAAGTAATTTAGAAAGAAGCTCAGCAGTCACACTGCATGCATTAACACACAACCAAACAATAGGGTTGGAGAGGATTAAATTTCTAAGAAGTAATACAGGTAGGTGGAGGGACGGAGAGGTTGATTACTGAATCTTTGTTCATAGAATCTACACCCAACATGTGCATTAGGATGCAATGACTCATCACTCATACCGGAAATATGGAAAATACTACTACCAATCAAGTCAATCGATGAAAAATAATGGGATTATATAAACGAAGTTAAAAAGTTGTGTGAGCACCTTGATATGATTGTGAGCAGTGTATAAATTGTGCTCGAAACGTGGTCATCAGTAAATATTACTGTGTAACAGTATGAGACTTTATCAAAATAAATTTTACACTTAGTGGAATTATACTCTACCACAGTACACAAGTTTTATTCTTATATCAGAGAGATGGGATAGTTATGAGTTCGCCACTTGGTACGTTGCTAGCAGACTTCTTTTTGGCTGTTATGGAGAGCAGTACTCTTGTACTTGCTATTAAGGGGGTTGGTTTTGACAAAAGAATATGTGGATGATACATTCATTTTATGCTATGAAAACTGTGATTTTGATGACATCTAGAAAGTATTCCGTGATAGTCATCTTGTTATCGACTTCACTTCAGAAATAGAAACTGATACAAAAATATCTTTGCTTGATACGCTGCTCCCAAGGTGAGCTGGTTGTTCTTTGAAACGCTTCATTTACAGAAAATCGACATGGACGGAACAATTGACCAATCTTTAAAGTTTTGTCCCCATAGACAGAAAAAGGAATCTAATCCATTCTCTTTCAACATGGATCCGAAGAATTTGTAGTGAGGACAGTGTTTATGATAGACTTATACAGTGGGAAGAAACCTTCATAGAGAAAAGGTATCCATCACACTTCGTAGAGGCCAATAGAAAAATACCCGGGTAGCTAAAACACCATTGCACCTAAATTCACAATTTAGGGGTGACATTGAGTGAGAGTGACAAGATCTGACAAGATCATTCAGAAAAACCTTCTTTTCTGCTGCCTGTATGGTCATCTGCTCTTGATAAGCTAGGCACATAGGACTTTCGTCGAGAAACATATCCCGTCGCCACGTTAGAGAGCACCTCACAGTTCGACTGAGTAAAGGTGAGTGTAGAGGTACTAATTCGTCGATATTGTAACATTTTGTAGATACTGACCACGCAACATCTGAAACATGGTTCAATATAGTCTACAAATTTCAACAAAGTGTGCCGCAAGGGAAATGAGTGCATTCGATTGTATAGAAGAGGTTTTGGCAATACATAACATAAAGCCAGAACGTTTTGTACGAAAACAATTCGTACGATCTCTTCTATTGCCATAGTCTTGATTTTACTATGTAATCTACATAACAACTGTGTTATCGTTCTTTATTCCGTGTTCCAAATTTTTTTGGTTTGGTTTCATTTCACTTTATGTTATCATATTCTAACATTTTATCTAGTTTACTACTTTGATACATTTCATCATATTATGTTCACATATGCATTTTTCCGAATGTACTCTACCTTCTGACCATCTATTTCGCACATGCCCTCCCTTGGACTTTAGGTTGACCTCTATTAATTCAGTTAGTTATTCATCCATCTGTCTAATCAATTGTGACTGATAATCACGTACACGGAGAATATCGCACATGAGGAATTCCACTCATTGTCAAACGTTAACAGACACACTGAAGATATTCCTCTTCATTAATCGCAAATTTCTACCTGTATGGCTTAGAGGTTAAACTTGAAGGAATTTTACAAAGAATTTATGTTCGTACGACTAGATAAAAAAATACACTCAAAAATACCATTTTGACATGACGTGGAGCAAGAGGAGAATACCACAGTTAACAGCTCATTAAATTGAGGATAAAATACCATCGGTTTCATTATTCATATACCTCCGTTAGGTTCCAAGCGGAACATACGAATCCAAAAGAATATCTCCAATTTCTTAACATTCAATCAACTACTACTGACGTGGCCACAACATTGCCTACAGTCACTGCACGCCTCTTTTTACACGATCTCCTCAATGTCACTCTTAGTTAGACACAACTTAAACTCATCGATTCCGCTTACAGCTGCCATTCCACCCATGGCCCCATATACCGCGTCATTCCATGGTCTCCTCAGTAGACTATAGCTAATACGTCTCCATTCTCCTCGCCATATTTGTTGAGCAATAGGTTCCCGGTTGGTTGGTGTGTACTCAATAATTCCTTATTGTTGATCCACCTGGCAAGCCGACCCCCAAATCTTCAATATACAGCGAAGGTGTACCGGCTGAATAAAGTCTGAGGTAGACTATTTCCAAATGCTTCTCATCACGCACATGCATTGCATGACTCAAAATGATGAAGCTGTGCCTTGCCTTCACGATTCCGCCACCTTTGATATCTCCATCCGTTCCAATTGCTCTTCAAACAAAACCTCCTAAATGACTGGAGGGAGTGACCTCTTGCAAATTTCTCTCGGTGATAGTGATTGGTACTAGTTGTTGCTGTGGTTCGTCGGTTACCTTCATCACCCCTGTCTTCTCTGTGTTCACCTGGAGTCCTATCTTCTGTGGCTACTTACTCCACCAGCTTGTTGGTTTTCGCATGTAGATCTTCATGTGTGTGTGTGTGGCAATATACACAAATCATCCACACGTGAAATCCAAATGTTTTAGAGAATTCTTATCACCCCCGACATTCTGTGCAAATCCATCGTTAGTAATAGGCACGTGGAGTTATCTTACTCCTGCGATCACTTCAAACGCCCCGCTGTATTTTCCACTGTGGATCACTTGAAATTTAGCACTTTAAAATAGTTTTTGAATGAGGTTGATGAAACTTTGTAGCACTGAAGTAGTTTCCAAATTACTTTGCTGTCAACACCGTTGAAGGCCTTTTCAAATGCGGTGAAACTGAGGCAGAGTTCAGGATTATTATTATTATTATAATTATTACAGTGAGACATACATTATTCTGCCATTACCTTTGAATTTTTGAAGTTTTGTTATTCTTGCTATTTTCGTTATTTTGTATATTTGTATAAATACAGGTAATTTACGACTTATTCATACGACATCTTGGTGATAATTATGACCAAATTCATAGGTCATCGGATAAGTTCAAGAATAGCGTCCCAGGAGTGGGAAAGCTCAAATGACCTTTAACGCATGCTAACGGTTGGCTGAAGAAACCTACGATTAATCTAGCGCAAAAATGAATGCTGTTCATTAGCTCAGGTGTAAATTTCACCCAGATCACGTATTTCAATGCTGTCTGGATAATGGATGGATTGATGGGACGTACTCGGATATGTAGTTACGGTGCTTCAATGAGCCTGCAACCATATTCACAAGTAATTGATGGATATATATTTAGATGAATGGAGTGTAGGAAACAAACGAGTGTTCGTACTGGTAAGTGACACTCTCAGTTAATCGTCTCACAGGAACGTCCTTTGCAAAATAGAAATTTTCTTTGACGAATATACTGTTTCTTTGCCATTACTGGATTTTGAAGTCTGAAGTGAGGTCAACTACCACTCGAAAAGAAAATACGTTGACGTCTACTGTGCAGTGGTTTCAGTTTTGTCAAGATTGAGCATCATGGAAAATTGACAATAATACACAAGTGTTAGGAGGAGTCGGTGTTATCGTTCACATCGACAAAACAGTGCTTATAAAGAAGAAATACAATTGCGAACGTGCTAGAGCTGACAAAGGATTCCTTGAATTTATTCCAGACATAAGTGTCGACACTCTTCTGCCTATTATTCAAAGACTTGTTTTGCCTAGCAGTACTATACACACGGATGAATAGGCAGGATGCAACTGACACTCCCTATTATAATTGGGACATATTTTTATCTCATATCAGGGAAAAATGCTGTGTTTAATGTTTTTTCATGCTTTGTTATGTAAATATATGTAATTTTTTGTGCAGAAATCCCTCAAATTTTCTGATTGGTCGTCTCTAGGTCACTCGTGCGTTCTTATCCCTTGGGACGCTATTGTAGAACTTTGCCAGGTCATCTAGTGGACCATCGCGATTCAAATTATCATCCTATTATTCAATCATCACTCAGTTTTTATCTTCTGAATGAGATGAAAGGCAGCAAGCTAGCGCTCTGTAGTTTCACTAGTAGGTAAGGTGTTTTTTTGGTTTTACAGGATGAGGTTGCTGGCCCCACGTACACACACAAACACACACTCACACGTAATTTCCCTTTTTACCGTATTTACTTGAACCGGTTAGTCCATGACGTTTAGGTGTGCGTCAGTAGTCGGTCGGTAACTGAATCCCTGGCGTAGACGTGATATCTGACCATCGACCAAAGGGCGTGTGTACTGCTCATCAGTCTGCTCCGTCCTCCTTTATGGCTGTGAGACCTGGCCATTGAGAGTGAAGGACATGAAAAGATTAGCTGTCTTTGATCATAGGTATCGGCGTTCTATCTCCCGTGTGAAGTGGTATAATAAGGTGAGCAATATTGAGGTTAGGCTTCGGTCGAGTGCTAGGTAAGGAGGGGAAATCAATCGACGAGACTGTGAAATTACATCGAATGAGATGGTTAGGACATGTGTTACGCATGCCTAGTCATCGCCTTCCTCGACAATGGGCAATGTTAGGTGATATAGGGTCGAATCAAGAGAATAATAAGAAATTCACCAACCTTCAGTTTCATTTAATTTCCGTATGACATCTTTTTTCATTTGTAGCAACTTCTGCTTAGCTCTTCCACCTGGTGAATAGCAGATAATGAATATGTAAGTATTTGTTATATACACCTAGTAGTTTAATTACCTAATTTTACCTTAAACCATAAAATATCTATTTTAAGCAGTTATCGTTTACTCGCATGAGCTTTTTGTTTTTCCCTCTGTTCGGACTGCTGTATTCCTATTGGCTGCATTTTCAAGGTCATTTTAATTTTATTATATATGTATATCCAAATCAAATTCACTTTTAACAGTTTGAAAAAAAATTGGGCATTAGGTGGTATATGATATTCATTATTAATTAAGGTTTTTGTATTTCTCAATGAATGAATGAAAAACAAAACGATATTTCTATTTTTTCGTACATTTCGCTATTTAATATTGCTAATAGCTCTAGTAAGGTATTATCAAACCAGAATTAAAAAATCTCCTCAGCTTAGATATTACAACTTCATCATCGTTCCTGAGCATGGGGTCATTTGTACGTTGTCAAAGTGATCAACTGGTAAAGATAACAAAACCAGGTGTTGCAGCCCTAATGGATTTGATAAGTGTGTAAAATTGTAAAAGTAGCGTGTGTTTACACAATGAAATTGCTTATCACATTCGTGTTGATTTTTTCATTTCATGGGGTCGGAGGGAGTGTTGCACCCAGATCAAATTTTGTTTCAGTCCATCATTCCAATTCAGACAATTTGGATTCCACTTGATATGAATTGCTTCTGATAGTATTAGACGTTCTTTGGGAATTCTGAAATGCTTCTTCTGGATCATTTCAATATTGTCAAAATCAATTCTGTGACTTGAGTCTACTATAGTGTGTAGACAGATTTATGGTTGATGATTTTTCTAGCTTTTCTAATTCAACTGGATTTCTCGGTGGTTGAACAGAGTCGGCTATACAGTGTTCATGTCTTCTCATTTTGATTTCTCTCTGGCGATGTTTGTCCCATATATAATCGCATCATATTCTAAGCAAGCATTTTATTTTATAGACACAATTAAATAGAGAATCTTTAGGGATTTGATCTTTTATAAGGAGAAGTTTGCTTCGGTGTGTGTCTGATGTTTTGAAAAAACGCTGATGTTATGCTTATTGAGTACTGAAATAATCCAAAAAAATTTTAGAAATCCCAAATAACGTCTAATATCATTAGAAGCACTTCATATCAAATGGAATCCGAATTGTCTGAATTAGAATGATGGAATAAAACAGAATTTCACTTCGTTACAACACCCAACCACCTGCCATGAAATGACAAAATCAACACGAATGTGATAAGCAATTTCATTATGTAAACACACGCTACTTTTACAATTTTATACACTTATCAAATCCAAAAATCTATACCTGGTTTTGTTATCCTTACGCAATCAGCAAATTGGACAACGAAAAATGACCCCATTCTGAGGAACGACAAATAATTTTGTTGTAAATAAGCTGAGATTTTGTAAATTTTGGTTTAATATTTCTACTCTGATAAAGCTATCAGCAGCAGCATTAAATAGCGAAACGTCAGTAAAAAGAGAAATATCGTTTTGTTTTGCATTCATTCGCTGGGAAATACAAAAAAACCTTGATTATAATGAACATTCTAATTGTATGTATATACAGAGCTTCTGTCTAGCGTTTTGAGCGCTTTTGCGACAATTAGAGCTCGCCTAACGAAGTCCAGTCTTTTCTTTCGTCTTTTCCTCCCGGTGGTGTTATTGTTATTGTTGTTGTTTTGACGGGCGATTAGGACAAATTAGCAAGCAGATTAAGTTAGTGTTCGCTCATTACAGTATTTTTTTCTTCAGAAAAAGACTATGTTTAACATATTTATTCAAGTAGAGATTAGTTTTTCAAACTTTACCTCTTTCTGCTCTGATTTTCTTTTCGATTTCTTCCAAATCCCCTGTAATGTTAAGTGTGTATAAGTAAATGTGTAAAACTTGGGCACTGTGGTAGTAATTAATTCCAAATTAGTTTCTTTATTAGATGTTTCACATAGTGAAACAGTATTATTATTTACTGGATGACAAAGTTTCGAACAAAATTTACTGTGGTTCATAATCTTATCAATTGTAATCACACGACTTCGAAAGTTGAGTTTTATAGTTTTCTATGTTCTCTCCTATTTGTCGTTGTACGGGTAGTAGAAATTTCCAGATATCTTGGACAGGTGTTGAATCATTCCTATTACATGTATTTGCAGTTGATTCGATAAACAAAGCTTCTGTTGTCAATCTCTCCCTCCGCCCTGCTGTTACATTGGATTTGAAAACTGTCCCTGTTCTACTAGTTTGACCTATGTATTTGACCTGACATTCATTCCGGCAGGGTATTAGATAAACTAAATTGTATTGTTTAATGGGCTCCACATGACTGATCCTTTAACGGAGAAAGCGTATTTCTAAATGATTTTGTGGTTTTGAATGCCAACCACTTTTATTCCTGCCTTGTTAAGAATACTCCGGTGTAAGGTTTCCGAGGTTCCTTCCTTGTATGGAATTACTTCAGATGATTTAGATTCCTTATTGTTGGTGTTGTCTTGTGCACATTTGACTTTCATGTCGTCATTAATATTATTATTATCATCACTATCACTACCATCATTATTTATTTTATTTTTACATTTCCCTACATACTTTGTGACTAATTCATCAGGGCAATTATTAAGTTTCAAGGCTTCTCTTATATGTATCACTTCATGTCTTAGTTTTTTTGCTCTGTCACTTAAACATTTCACCGATCCTATTTTTACTGACATGGGATGGGATGATCGGAAGTCCAAATATCTGTATGAATGTATGGGCTTCCTGTAAACACTAGTGTTTGACTTCCCATCTTCTTTTCTTTTTACACTGCAATCTAACATTGGAAGTTCCCCCTCCTGACTTTGCAATTCATAAGTGAATTGAATTGCCTCAACCTTTGAGTTAGTGTGTTCGAAACATCTTTCTGTATATCGTGTGTTCTAAGTACAGTCAATGTGTCATCTACATACCTCCATCATACGTTTGGGGTGGGGGTGAACTTTTCAGTTGCTATACTAAGTGTATAAGTGAATAGATATTATATATATAATAAACTAACGGTTGCGTTTGACTGCTATTCTGTTAGGTTGTATTCAAATACGCAAGATTATGAGTAAACTGTTTCAATGCAATATCTTGATTCCTGTAAATTTTCTAACATTACATTTAGATGTCTTGACTACTTCCCATAGGCTTTTATTTTCCTGTTATATGATTTTTTTCCCATACCATTTAAAGACGTTATTCAAGTTCTAGTAGAGGACCTGGAGGGTAAAATCACTTCAAAGTCTCCTCAGTGTCATCCATTCTGTTCAAGTTCAGAAGAGAAAAAGTTTGTATTTGATTTTCTGTGCTATAAAGCTTTTGCGGACATGGGATTGTTTCTGTTTACAGGGTGATGTCACTATTCTTATATTCAATCTTCTCTCTCTTTCTAAGGGTAGAAGCCAACTGGTTCACAGATAGAAATTTTTTCGAGTTTGTTTGATATTTAAGGTGAATCATCCGCGATAAGAAGACTCCAGAAGATGATGATTTAATTATACTGTCACACAAACTCAAAGAGTTCTACAGGCGAAAAGCAACAAGTTGGCGGAGTGAGCAGACACAGATGACAGGACCCCAGGTGAATACAAAGAAGACCCTTGGGCGGTGAAGATTACCAGCCACCACCGAAAACAACAATGCCAATCACTGGCAACAATCGCCTTAGACGAGAGAAATTCAAAAGAGGTCACTTCCTGAACTAATTGAGGGAGTGTTGTTTAAAGTTCAGAATCGGAAAGCCGAGACACACAGCTTCATCATTCTAAGATCAGTTTGGAAATTTTCCTCACTCCACATCTCGAAGACATCAGTCAGTGAGGCAGTCAATCTGTCAGTCAGTCAGTGGTTCTATTTAGTTGAGAGACTTGCACTGTGTGTGTGTGTGCGTCACGAAGAGCATTTGCAATAATCTATTATAAAGATTGATTTGCTGGCTGGCCAGATGGAATCAGTAATGAGGAATTATTATTAGTACAAATCGACCAGTCGTGGACCTATTGCTCGACAAATATGGAGAGATGAGAATGGGTTTATATATAGGGCACAGGTTATTGAGGAGACCATGGAATTACAACATTACGCATCAGGCGATTGGCAGATTGGCACAGACTGTGGAACAAGGAGTGAGTCGTCCACGAGTGACAAGGCGAAATTCAATGACTGGTGGCAAATTTGTGGCTAGGTGAGGAGGAGTTGATAAAATGTCCGAAATTGGAGATGTTCTTTTGGATTTATAGTTTCCGCTTAGAGCCTCAGAAAACACACTAATAAATGATATTAATAGTTACTGAAATACATAAACGCTATGGAAATATAACCAGTACGTTTAAGGCATTTTCTATTTTTTTTTTATCAAAAAACATCACAGTGAATTATTCATTCTTGCAACGTCTTACATTGATAATCTTCAATAATTTCAACATAATCAAGGATTTGGTCTTCGACGTTTATAACTGCAAGAATATTAAAAAAAAACCCGTGATGAAATCACATTTTTAGACGTGTCGACTCTTTAGGCTTGTCTTATTGTCAAGCATAAGTCACATCTTGTCATTAAGTGAAAGGATACGGCAATAACTTGTATTTATTATTGGTATTGTTCACTTGGGTTCCAAGTGGAAGATAGTGGTGCTTCAGCAACACACCCCTACATTGTCCCACGTTCAGCACTCCTCACACACAAGCTGGTCACATGTTCGCTTAGAATGCCTCATCTCCTCCGCCCAAGATCTCCTCCATTTTACACCCATTTTTTGTCCTCTCAGGTTCCACTAGACCGACAGGTTGATTCCAGATTTCATTTGACGGTCGCCTAAGCAGCGTGTGCCTAATCCAACTGCAATTTTTTCCGCATAAATTTTTGAATATAATTGGCCTTTAGAGTTGCTTTGTTGCTACAGCTTCATGTAGCTAATTCTTTCTGGCCATTTAATCTACAGTTGATACAAGTCTGCGGTGGCCTGTGGGAAATGTTTTCCATGAAGTGCCAAGTTTCTGACCTTCAAATATACTTTTGTTATTTTAATTTTGATTAATTTCCCTAACGAAGTTTGAACCAGTTTGCTGAATGAAACTTTAGAATGACTTATTTTAGTTTTACTGAGATTTTGCAGCTATTATTATTAAACATTTTTTTTGTTTTTATAGTTGGTTTGTAAGGATTAGTTTTGTTTTTACGAGTTGATCACGGATTGATATCAGTTAGAGAACCACTGAAAACCAAGGAGTGCTGGACAGCTGTTTCCTCTATCCTAGTTTGGGAATCATCGACAGTACGCAACCACCACCACGGTTCTAGACCAGGACCTTCTGGTTACAAGGCAGGCTCGTAGAACGTTCAGACACTGGGACTCGACTTTTCAGCGGCCGGCCAATGAATTCTAACTTCCATCAATTCGTGATTTTAGCGCAACTACCAGCAAATGTCATAGGTGGAACATCCATCCTCACACTTGACTGGATGGAGCCCACTGTTCACGCCTTCGAACCCCAGTGGGTGCGTACTTTTGGTGATTCTCAAACTAGTGGGATGAAACAACTGACTGTTCAGTAATCCTTGGGGGTTTTCAATGGTCCTCTAACTGATATCACTCCGTGATCAAATCGTAAAACATGTCTTTGTACTTTAGTTAGATTTTGTTTCTGTCCAAAAAATGTTTAAAATCAGTCCTTCTTTTCAAGAATATTCGTGAAATTCGTCTTATAAATAGTCAAACCTTTTAATTCTTAAAAACTCAACATCATACATCATCCTGAACGTATGTTGCTTATTATTCCCGTTGGTTACTTGTGTACCATATGGATCCGGCAACTCATTGTGATTTCACTCCGTTCCCTGCAGTCGTCTCTAAGTGACTTCACAATTATCCATAATGATGTTATCTCAAATCACAGAGTCTTCTGCATTCAACTCCCCGATCCTAACCGAACTCGTTATTTCTCAATTTTTGTCCTACTTAAAGGTCTGTCTTGTGCAAAATGTCCTATTCAGCGGTCTTCAGTCCCTCTTTTTTTACTCAAGCATATTTTTTGGCCAATGGATTCTTGATTAATTCATTGCCAAAGGTCTACACTATTAATTCTTTCTATTTGGCTATCTAATCTTCTGTATAGAGTGAGAGTAGATGTTGGTGAAATTCTTCAATAGCAGCATGCTAAAAGTGGTTTTTCATAATAAGGCAGATGTCTAAGCCATGGAGAAGTATCAACTTGAGATTATCATCATTATTATTATTATTGTTTCCTTTAATTCCCCTAGAGGAATTTTGGGCTTCAGCCTCACGTCTCCATTGCTTCCAGGGTTCTCTGCCAACGTTTTCCCCTGGCTCGACATTCGCCTACATGCTTTCATCTCCTCTTCACATCACTTTACCATCCTCTATGTCACCCTCGCACTGATGACCAACTAACTCACAGCTTCCCATTCGGGTTCCACTCGAACGATGGCCTGTCGTGTGATATCACTGACTTGATGGTTTGTTTTCTCAGAGTATGGCCAGTCAATCCACCTCCATTTCTTCCTGCATGAATATCAGTTGCACAATCGTTTCCTTCTGGGTTGGTTCATTCCTTCCCAGAGATCCCTGTTGCTGATCTTTTCTGGCGGGACATGTGATCTTGAGTAGTATTGAGCGAAGACATCTGTTGATGAAGGTCTCTGGTTTATTGTAGATTGTTGTTGGGAACCCAAATCTTACTCCTTATACTGAATGTAGCGGACTTCCGGACTGATTTCATTCATATTAATGAAGGCATATCTTACATCGTTGATCCTGACTCTGGATTTGATGTTCCTCATCTATGCCACTGTCAATAATGGATGGTAAGGATGCTACTCAAATAAGTGAATGAAGTGACCATCTCGTTGAAATTTTTTTTCACTGATATTGACTGGAGCTCGTTGTTGTTGTTGTTGTCTTTGGTTATCATTATCATCATCACCTCTATCTCATCTATGCTACGTTTTGCTTCTATCCACTATTCCTTTTCATATTGATCAGGATGTAATCGGTTGACATGAAATCACAAAATCATCATGATAATGATAATAAATTGCGCCCATGTTGTCCTGATACAAATTAGTCGTTGTTGCTTTGTTCAAGTGTACTAATTGAGAAAATTCTAGGCAACTTTTCAAAGATTATTAACTCCTGTCAACTTACCTTAACGAAACAGTCTTAGAACTAATATCATAAAATAGTCCATCAGGATGTTCACCAGTGGTTTAGTGGTAGAATGCTTGCCAACCACGGAGCTCTATCCCGGACCTGTGATGCACTCGTAGTTCCATATTAGTTTCTTTATTAGATATATCACACAGTGGAGTGACAGTATTATATACTGGATGACAAAGTTTCAAACAAAATTTAATGTGGTTCTTAATTTATATCAATTGTAATCACACGACTTCGAAACTTGAGTTTTATAGTTTTCATTGTCTTCTCCTATTTGTCCCTGGGGTAGTAGAATTTTCCAGATACCTGGGATAGGTTTTGAATCATTCCTATTACATGTATTTGCAGTTGATTCGATAAACAAAGCTTCTGTTGTCAATCTCTCCCTCCACCCTGCTGTTACATTATATTTTAAAACTTTCATCCTATCCCATCCTATTGTATGGTTGTGTGAAACTGTATGTAGTGCTATCTACGGCTGAACTATTCTCTAGATGCACTCTTAGACTTTGATAAGCCGGTATTAAGAGTGGCAAATAGGGAGGTTGGCAATCTAACCCAGGAAAAATAGGAAAACGTCTAGAAAACCCTAATGCTACTGGAACTTCTAAGCTTAAGATTGAAGCCGTATCTTCCGTTCGGAACGTAAACAACATAATAACCGTAATAGTATTCATAATAATAGGTAACATCGGAATAATATATATGACACACACATTTATTATGATCATACCTGCTTTTGTAAGTTTTACTTTATCCCAGGCCGCATCTGTGAGTAGAATTCAAAATGAATGTTATTTTTTAAAAAATTAAGTGAATATAGTAACTCTTCTATGTACAAAATGCTACACGCCTCAAATCAATTGATGTGAGATTCGCTTAATTGTGCTTCCTGTAGTCGAATGGTACAATCTCTACTAACATACTCTAACAACGGATTTGATACCTAGCTAACACACTTAAAAACTCCACAGTTAGTCGATGATAGGTCAAGTAAATAAGGTAAGTTAGGCGTGGAGTTGACAACCTCACCAAATAGAAACCAGCGGCACTACGACTACTGAAACATTTCTGTGTTTCACTTGGAAAGCAGTAGTATCTCGGATGCATATTCACCCCCCCCTCCAGTTTTGAAGCTCATTAGCTGAATTTACCTGTATGTCGAGTGATGGTGCTCTCCGTGGGACTCGACTTCTGAAAACGCCGAAAGCACCAACTTCATACTAAACCACTTGACCAATAGAGTCACATCAGACCAATAGGCATCAGATTTTCTTTGTATTTCCAACTGACTACTTATATATATATATATTGACCCACATACTCCACCGTCTTTATTGCCATATCTGTCCCTACTAAAGATGACTGGAATTTACCGGTTAATCAACTGGAAGTACAGAATAACTTCACCAGATAACTTGTATTCAATCGAACAAAAGTAATGCTTCGGTAGTTCAACAGTAGAACTCTCTTCAAACCAGGCCTCGCTTAGTCTGAGTATTGATTCTAGGCCAATGTACTTCAAAAACTTGCCAAGCCTGTAGTAAGGATGGTAAAAGGGAAGTTTGAAAATATAAACCTCTGCTATCGGAACTTGATACCTCTAACTTGAAGCCTTATATCCCGTAGAGGACATAAAGGAGTAAAATAATAATAAAAAAAGTAAATACTAACTGTAGTCTGGTAATTATCGGCAGTACACACCCAACCCGAGGGTTCGAACCCAGGACCTTCCATTTACAAGGCAAGCTGGTAGACTATTCAGCCACCGGGACCCAACTCCTCAATTCTAACTTCCACCAATTCGTGATTTAGCGTGACCCCAACTAATGTCGTTGGTGAGACATCCATCCTCACCCTTGAATGGGTGGACCTCACTGGTCACGACTTCGTACTAGAACTCCGAGAAACTCTGCTCTGTGGTAAGTCACTGGAGAAACTCACATACGTTAAAGTAAACGTAGTCGAGGATTGAAAAAAAAAGGTTAAATAATCAAATAATTGTAAGGGATTACAAACTGAGTTACTAGGATAATTTTTTTCTACTCTGTAAAAACAACACACCAAAGACAGTGAAACCCGCAAAGCTCCACCAGAACACCAAAAAAAATTACTTTGGTAAATAATGTAAAGGGAATATAAAATATTTTTCTTTTAGAAAAAACATTTACTTATGGCATGCCTCGAGTTTAGACTTTCGTGAACTGCCAACTCTAGTAGCTTGTTTGTTTGAGCTTGACAAAAGAATACAGAAATAAAAAATCGAAATATTTATTCAAATTGAATACAACTCAAGTGCCAACACTGGCATAAGAGTGGAAGTTGGACACTATGTTGATAGAGTATCATTCTGTTAGGAAGAAAATTTATTTCGATAAAGTCTGACCGCTTTATATATATATATATATGTATCGGAATATTTACAATTTATCACTGCTCATCTTCAAATCAGGTTGGTGAAAGAAATGAGAAAGAATACAGGGCATCTATACTAGTAGTTTTTTTAACATATAAGACAGGGACATCTGAGACCGTACGTAGTAGGATTCTTAACAAAGGAGGAGTTACAGTGGCATTTAAACCTACAAATCCACTGAGGTAGGACAAGCTTTGCAGGCTGAATGACCCGACCCCCGTCCCAATAAGACAAAGTAATACGATTTACAAAACAGCTTGCAATGACTATAGCCTAAGTCAACAACTACATAGGTGAGTCAAAATAGCAGATTGGGGGGGGGGGTAGACAGATTGTCAGAACATAAGAATTCAACTAAGGTTAGATTGACTAACTTCGAGAAGATAAGTAATCTAGAAAAATACTCAGCAATTTCATACTTTTCAGAGGTACTAGTTTCATTAACTAATAACGTGTCATATAATTTTATAATATATACACTGAATATATAAAGCATACCTTTCTGTTTGTAATATTCCTGTTCTAGTTTTCTGAATTCTGATTGTATATCATTCACATTTTCTACATGAACGAATAAAAGTGAAAGTGGTTTCAATATTATTTTGAAAAAACAAGCTGAAAAGAATTGCTTCAAAAAAGGAATCTATCTATCTTTGCATGAATTGATTTTACGAGTTTGACCACGAATTGATATCAGTAAGAGAACCATTGAAACCAGCACTGGAGTACTACTGGACAGCCAGCTGTTTCATCCTGGTTTTGCAATCATCAGCAGTACGCACGCATTGTCAGGCTTCGAACCCATGATATCAATCTCTGGGCAAACTCGTAAAAACAAATCTAACCAACTCTTGAAATTTAATCTGATGCTCGCTAGTGACTGGTCACAAGACGTAGTTTTCTGGACTTCTAGTGCGAAGTCGTGACCAATGACGTCCATCCAGTGAAGTGTGAGGATGGATGTTCCACGGATGGCATAGGTTGGTAGTCACGCTAGATGCGCCATGAATTGGTAGAAGTTAGAATTCATGGAATGGCCATTGAGGAGTCGAGTCCCAGTGGTCTTGCCTTGTCATCGGAAGGTCCTGTGTTCAAAACCCAGTAGGTGCGTATTACTGATGACTCCCGAACTAGGATGAAACAAATGTCCACTACTCCCTCGTGGTTTTCATTGGTTCCCTTATCGATATCAATCTTCGGTCAAACTCTTAAGAAGAAGAAATCTAATCCTTACAGACCAAACTCTTGAAAATTCACATGAATTATCAATCATGGTAACGAAAATGACAAAATGAGTACATAATCGAAGTTTGAGCACGGAGAGATATAAGTTAGCCGACCACTGGAATTCAGAGAATATTGGGCTGCTGATTCATTCCACTAGTTAAGAACTCATTGCCAGTATGCATTCCCTGGGGATTGAATGAAGGACTTTCCAACCTAATGGTTAACCCATCTCCAATTCCTTCTACATATCTATCAGGTTATAGTTTCTTGGGTGTTTCGTTTCTAGACCTACTTGTTTTCTTTCGTTCTTGCTCGCTGTCTCCTCTTTATTATGGAGCTAACGAAGGCAGATTTTGATTGAAGTCTGATACTCGCCTGAAATGCTTTTCGTGACGGACGCCAAATCTCTGAATCACCTAAAAGCATCGACTGACTTGACACCGGTGTTTAAAATCTCAATCAGATTCTTTTTGCCGATTGCGGGAGAATTCCTCACTGATTTTGGAGTATTGATTGTTTGGTTTGCCTCTTCTATGCCGTCTGCGGTCAAACCTATTCTACCCAGATAAATGGACGAATCGATTTCTGCCAAATTTTTCCCATCGACAGTGATTGGTGCTTTTTGTTTTTGCTTAGTTAGAGTTAGCTATATTCATCACCTCTGTCTTCTCTATGTTCAACAGTACCACCCATGGAATCCAGAAGGATATTCAGGTTACACAAGAGTGAACCAAATGACTATTTAGTCATTGGTGAATTATCCAATGGCTTATGAATGCTGATGAGGAGTCCTTAACTGAGACAGAATGGCTGCATTGTGTTTATTGATTCTGAAATTGATACTTTTTTCGTATTGCAACCTAGAAACAATGAAATGTCTGTAAACCGACACTTAAAACTTAATTTTCCATAAATTTAAAACAGAATCTACTAATTTACGAAAAGTATATTTGCTTTACTTTGATTTCCATTTGACACTAACTAGTGTTATATGCTAATAGTTAGTATCCAATGCAAAGTATTTAACACAATCCTTTCAGGAGGGCAATCACAAATCTTGAATAGCTTACTGGTGACATCTCTAACTGAAGAATTCACTGGGTGGCATTGGGCTCGAATCACAGACGAGGGAAATGAATTCCACCTTGCTGACTGATGAGTGTTAATAGGTGCGAAATCCAAAATCTGGCGAGGCTTCCTTTGGCCGTAATCGGCCGACCTCCAACCATCTAATTATACTGGTTTCATTATACAATCTAAAAGAAAATCGTCTGTTGAATTGGAAAATAAGATTACATGGGCTCAGGAAAGCCAAATCATGTTCTGACCAAATTGCAACTCTAAGCATCATCATCGGACAAAGCGTGGAATGGCAATCAAACCTCTATCTCAACTTTATAGACTTTGAGAAGGCCTTCGATAGCGTTGATCGCGAAGTAATTTGGAAAATACTCGTGTATTACTGCGTACCCCAAATATTCATCAACCTTATTCAACAGCTGTACGACAACGGCACATATTAAGTCATCCACAACGGAAAACTCAGCGAGGCTTTTGGAGTAAACAAAGGAGTCAGACAGGAGTGCTTATTATCACCAATGATATTCCTAATTGTGGTGGACTGGATTATGCGTCAGACAGTGGGAAACGAGAAGACAGGGAAATCCTGGACCGACGTGAGGAACCTAGAAGACCTGGATTTCGCGCGTGAATGATTTATGTTTGATGTCACACAAAAAGGACGACTTACAAGCGAAAGTCGACGAACTGGTCGAAGAAGCAGCAAAGACAGGACTGCAGGTGAACATAGACAAGACGGAGGTTATGAAAATAACCAACCAACAACAACAACAGCAGCAACATCCAGTGCCAATCACCATCAACGGGAGGAATTTGAAAGAGGCTACTTCTTTCACTTATCTAGGGAGCATTGTCTCAGCCACAGGAGGAACGGACGAGGATGTCAAATCGAGACGAGAATTGGGAAGGCGAGAAACACATTCATCAACCTGAAACCAATCTGGAAATCTTCGTCACTCAGCATCAACAGCAAAATTCGGATTTTCAATACAAACGTCAAGTCAGTCAGTTCTTCTATAGGGATGGATCAGAAACTTGGCGGGTCACAAAGAATATTTCCAGCCAGCATCGAGACAAGCAAACTAGGGGATGAAATGTCACACGAAAACAACCAATCACGTTCAAGGTTACTAGAAGAGATGACTAATAAACTCATAGAGAATTCTAAAAGCTCACTTCACATCGAAGTATGCGCTGAAGATGTTGCTCAGTAGAGCAATGAAAGCTTCGCAACCAAACCATCCAGCTCAGAGAACACAACCACACCAAAATATTTCCAACAATCTGTTGCAGACCTTTATCAACAACTTAGTGTCTTCGCTCTGTACTAAAGATCAGATGGCCAGAAAGAATCACCAAAAAGAAACTATGGGGACAAACAGAACAAGAAGCAATCACCCAACAAATATGCAGGAGAAAGTGGAGATGGATTGGACACTCGCTGAGGAGGCCGTTGGGTGAAATCACGCGTCATGCTCTTGGGTGGAACCCGAAAAAGAAGCGGCGAGTGGGACGTCAGTGCAAGGGTGACATGGAGGAGATCGTGTGAAGAGGAGTTGTAAAAGTATGGATTAACATGGATGCAGGTGAGAAGTACAGGAGAAGACAGAAGCAAATGGAGGCGTGCAGTTGAAACCCGTTGTGTGCCACTAGGAACCCAAGGGAACAATAATAATAATAATTACATGAATACTCACTTGGTTGACTGTTTGTCTGATGGTTTGATGAATGCTTTGCTCTTTGATCTATTGTCGTTAAATGAAAGTCTGAAGACGAAAAAATTAATAATAATAATAATAGTAAACGTATTATTGTATTTCTGGTTGATCGTTGTGAAGGTTTCTAACCAAGCGAGAATGAAACATATTTGCAAGATTAAAAAGAGCTCATATTTCTTTTCCGGCTTCACGAAGTTCTTAATCAGCCGTTAACTGCAACCAGAATATGACATAAGGTGTTATAAATGTGGAAATGCACCTTACTGCTCTCTTGGGTTTCGAGTGGAACATACGCTTTCAACACAATACATCTCCACTAAGTGCCATTCTTTGAAGTCTTTTTCAGCTGACTACTCGTCCGCCCATAGGCTGTCATGTCGTCCTCATATAATCGCCTTCCTTCATTTCACTTTAACGTACATTTTGAGCGTAAAGCTCAGAACCATCTTTCGGATTAAGACATGTTGTAGCGGTTTGTCATAGTTACTCCCGTTATCAGCGCCTGATTGAATTTCTTCACTTTCACATTCAGAGCACTGGGCAGAAATCACATTGCGTCATAACCGGTCAGCGAACATTGCAATGCTTTGTTTTAATTAGACAGTCGGATTCCCCTGGTCATTGCCACTTCTGAGTTAGCCGTCGCGCGCCAAACAATGGAAGCACAGTCGCTTGATGCAACACAGTGCAAGTCCACGCGCGTTGCCAACCACAAAAAACTAACAGCTGAAACCGCCCACGATTGATCGCGGTCAGAGTTCAGTAACTCCACAACAATACGCACCGAAGCACACAAAGCAGCAAAGAAACCAGCCCCCAACTGGACCGACACCTATCTGATCTCGGCCCACAGAGCCAATCCTTCTCCCTAAGTTACGGATCCGATTTGCCGACTTCCCTTACCTACCCTTAAGGATAATCATCCATCAAAGTAATGGCTGGGTGATTGATGTCATCCAAGAGTCTGCTAAGTGGTGTGTGTCCGATCAATCTCCATTTTTCTTCGGGATATCTGTCGTGCAATCAGTTTGTTGATTGGTGCTTTCCAAGGGCTTTGTACACTGAAGAGCTTGAATTCATGCTATCATTCGAATCGTATATTCTTACTAAAGAACTGTCTTAAATAAGGACAAACAGGGAATGGTTTATCCCCAAACACCTTGTCAATCCTGGACATTAAGCTCGACCCTCATGAATGCTTCACAGTGCTACACACAGAGTTCCTCAGTATCGTACATAGCTAAATCATTAGCTATTCAAGATGTGAAACTGGACCTCAGTGTTTAAAAGCACTACATACATTCACTTGCGCTACCGTGGCCAGAGTAACTTGACTTACTTGCAAAGTTCTGATGATATTAGATGGTTGGGGGCAATCGGTCTCCCAGGAAGCCTCCAGCCATCTAATATCATCAAATCAATGAACACCGTGATGGATAGCAAGCAACATAAAATGGTGCCCACATTGCATACCTGACTTATAGAATTCAGTCTGCACCAGCAAAAGGACTAGACACATCACACTGGTCAGTTACTAGTGTCCAATCAAAGTTCCTAGAATTCCACTGAGAGTTCATAATCGACCAGGTAAGCTGAATCAGGTAAGAAAAAAGTTAATTGTCTGTGACAGTGGTTGGCGGTGGTACTCTGTACATGTGGTGAACTGGAAGAAGAAGTTGGAATTCTTGATTCATTGAATTAGTTCCCACTGGTTGAATGGTCTGAAGATTCGCCCTCAACACAGGGATGAAACAGCTCTCCATTACTTACTTCTGGTTTCCCAATAGTAACAACTTGGGATTAAGCTTGTATTTAAGTTTTATTTTTAATGACTAACTACCATACTGTGGTTTTATTGACGTCGGTCAGATGAGTGACTGATTGCGTAATTTTGTATAGAATAAATACTTGTGACTGCTAATCTTAAGCACTCAGTCAATCCTTTTACAAACATCAGTGAGACCTGTTCAGTAAGAATTCTTTGATGAAATTAAATTCTGAGGACTGCTAATTATTTCTACTTTGATATGTTCATGGAACTTACAGAAGTAGGGGAATCTCTAAAGGTACTAGGTAACGAAAAACTGGGGTATACGAAGACAGACCTGAGATCCAATTTCAAAGATGCTTAAGTGATATACTAATCCATGACTTTTCCAGTGATGCTGATGTATAATGAAAACTGGCGTGAACTATGAGAAAAAACAAAACGCTTGTCTTCGAAAACTAACCAATTTCAATGTCAAGGTTCAATCTGCTGTGCCACTTATTGAATAGTTCAGTATTCATGTTGAGATTTTCTGAAAAGGTATTCAAAAATAAATTCATACATGTTTAAATATATATAGTCTTCATCCCTGTGCGTTCAGACTTGAACATACGCCCTCATACTAGAGCTTTGAAGCTATATTAGCGGAAGTGTTTTGCTTTGTAGGATGAGGTTTCTAGCTTCCCCTTCAAACTTCCTACCTGTCTAAGTTTAATATTGGTTAAGCAAGGTGTAGAAGCAAGTCGGCCATTAAATGGGCGAGGAATGTAGGCGCAATTGGTGTTCGTTCCACCGCTGAACCCCTGAAGAATATATATTTATATCGTTAGCACAAACTAATCTTCGAATCTTCAAGTGTTGGTTTGTAGGGATTTGATTGGTTACCAGATTTCATCATGAGCTGATATTGGTTAGAGAGCCAATGGAAAACCTGCCAGTACTTGACACCTCTTTCGTCCTGGTTTGAGACTCTTTAGCAGTACGCACCCATCGGGATTCGAATCTATGACTTTCTGATTTCAAGGCAAGCTCGTAGACTTTCAAGCCACTGGGACCCGATCAAATGGCCCATCAATTCTAACTTGTGACAGTTATGAGGACAAATACTCGCTGGAGACATTGGCTAGTGGTCGCGCTATGTCATGAATTGGCAGAAGTTAGAATTCACGGGACACTGGATCGGGTCTTAGTGGCTTAAAAGTCTACGAGCTACGAGGTAGCTCGCCTTGTAACCATAAAGTCCTGGATCGAACCCCAGTGTTGCATACTGATGAAGAGTCATAGACAAGGACGAAACAGCTGTTCACTACTCTCAGGTTTTCCAATGGTTCTGTCAGCTGATGATGAACTGCGGTAATCTTTGAATCATATTCATTGTCTAATGGAAACCTTTTCGATAGAAATTCAACAGCACATCTTCACGTTCCCTCATTTTCTGCATTTCTCTTTATCTGGTCGAACGTTTGCCCATAATCTGTTATCTTCTCCACCCATGATCTCCTCCATGGTATTTTCAGACCCACACCAAACTCGTTGTTTCCATTCCGGTTCCACTGAACTGTTGGCCTGATGTGCGATGTCATTTGACAGTCTTCTCAGTAGCGTGTGTCCAACACACCTCCATTTTCATCTGCATATTGACTGAAAGATAGGTTCCAGATTGGTCGGATTGTACACATAATTCCTCATTGCTGATACTTTACAATCACCTGACCATTCAGTCTTCAATGTAGGTGGCACCAGCTGAAAAGAGTCTGCAGTAGCCGATTCGAAATGCTTTTTGTGACGCTCACGCATTATAAGTTTCCAAACTAAATAGAAGCACTGGCTCATTGACTTCTTAATGATGTGAAGTGGGGAAGATTTCCAAACAGATTTCAGAACGATAAAGTTCGGTCTCGTCGTTCTGATTCTGGCTTCGACATCTTCATCTGTGCTGTCGTCTGCAGTTGACAGGATGCCATCTAGGTATGTGGAGTGACTGACCTCTTTCAAATTTCTTCCGTTGATGGTGATTGGTTCAGGCTGTTGTTGCTTTTGATTGGTTGATTATCTTCATCACATTCTTCTTCCTCTTTTCTATCTTCACTTGAAGTCTTTGCTGGTTCTTCTGCAAACTTGGTGGTTTTTGTCTGGAAGTCTTTGAGTTTGTGTGACACTAGACACAATCTTCAAGTATTGTTTTTGTAGGGACTTTGTTTGATTGGATGGAGGATTTAATCATTAGCTGACATCAGTTAGAGAACCACTGGAAAAACCTGAGAGTAATGGACAGCTGTTTCATCCTGGTTTGGAGTTCTAGTGGGAAGCCGTGACCAGTAGGGTACAGCAGGTTGAAGATGAAGCGGTAATTCATCGAAAAAGACATTACGAAATGGTTGTGCTATTCGGTGAATTGGTAGAACTTAGAATTCATGGGTTGGCCATTGGATCGGGTCCCAGTGTCTCAATGATCTACGAGCTCGCCTTATAATTAGAAGGTCCTGGGTTCGAACCCCAATGGGTATGTTTCGCTGAGGCAGTAAACTATAATATAATTCCATAAAAGATGTGTCTATAGGGAATGAAAATGCAGTGATACCGAACTAATAACTGAACGCTGTTTTGAGCAGAATTTATTATTTACACTCGAATCGGTTTATTCATAGAACTTCGTAAATTGATTTACCTAGGTATCTGTGTTCTGATAACCTAACTCACGCCCTTCTAGTAGTCTGATCTGTAAAACTGACCTCACAGTCATTGTCTTGGATTTAGCATCCTCTACAACAATTTGAGCAATTGATTTGACAAAGTTTATCTCCGAGTGAACTGGTTGATTTAGATGGCCTTCTCCATTTATTCGAAAGAATTTTCCATACATCTTGTAATGCTGTATCCTGGAGTTCTGGTGAGAAGTCATGACCATTCAGGTCCATCCAGATGTCAAATGTACTCATGGATATCCAACCGACGACATTGGTTGGTGCAAGTCGCGCTAAATCACGAGTTAGTGGAAGTTAGAATTCATCGGCTGGCCATTGAGGAGTCGGGCCTCCCAGTGAAACAGTATCATTTACTGAATGACACAATTTCGAACAAAATTTATTGTGGTTCATAATCTTATCAATTGTAATCAAACGACTTCGAAACTTGAGTTTTATAGCTTTCTTTGTCCTCCCCTATTTGTTGTCATAGGGGTAGTAGAATTTTCCATATATCTAGGACAGGTGATGAATCATTGCTATTACATGTGTTTGCAGTTCATTCGATAAACAAAGCCTCCACTGTCATCAGTCTCTCCCTCCACCTTGTGATATTGAATTTTAAATCTGTCATCCTATCCCATCATCCTACACTGTATGGTTGTGTGTAATTGCATGTAGTGCTATCTACGTCTGAACCATTCTCTAGATTTCTTATCTTATTCAGGTCAACCAATCTAGATTTTGCTAAATTTTTATGTTCAGCCAGTCTGACTGCACCTGTTCTACTAGTTTGACCAATGTATTTGACCTGACAATCAATCCAGCAGGGTATTAGATAAACTAAACTGTTTTGTTTTAAAGGCTCTACAGGATCCTTTAGCCGACAAAAGTTGTTTATAATAGAGTTTTTGGGTTTGAATGCCATTTTTATTCCTGCCTTGTTAGGAATTCTCCGGCGTAAGGTTTCCGAGGTATGGAATTCCATGTATGGAATTATTACTTATGATTTGGATTCCCTAATTTTGGTGTCGTCATTAATATTATCATTATTATCACTATTATTATTATCATTATAATTGTTATCATTATCATTGTTATTATCACTATAGCTACTATCATTATTTATTTTATTTTTACATTTCCTTTACATATTTCCTGACTAATTTATCCGGGTCCTGACCGATAGCTGCTACCTTGACATGGTGGATGGGCTTGCATATCGCAATGACCCAACGAGGTACAATGGCTGGAACTTATGTTCCTGTACTTCCTACCATGCCAGAAAGGTTGTTTGGATGGCGGTTAGACAAAAAGCAGCTACCAAATCCAACACTATGATTCAAACAAATTCACAAAATATCATGCCTGTCGGGGCCCGAATTAACAACGACCGCGCTTCCTGCTGCTGTGTCACAGGGAAGAAGTGATAAATATTCTACTGCGACACACCAAACAAGAGAGAACAACCCAAATCAGACCGCGTGTGACCGGCCTCAAGCAGTTGTCCCCGGGGCTCTGCGGTCACGTAAAACTAACCTTTTCTCTCTCCTCTTCTCAGGCGTGAGGCTAGCAATCCCACCCTGTAAACAAACCTGCTACAGAAACTTCAGCACGACGAATCTCGTTGCGCCAAAAGAAAAAGTCTGTGTGGGGACATCGAATGTCCGCACCATGTATGAGATTGGCAAAGCTGCCCAGATCGCAAACGAAAAGAAAAGATATGGAACTCAAGTGCTGGGGATATGTGAAAGCAGATTGAATGGGAATGGACTCACCAAATTGTCAACGGGTGAGTCAGTGATCTACTCTGGTCACCCAGAAGATAATTACTCACACATCGAGTGCGTGGCTGTCATGATGTCACCAACGGCAACGAAGGCCCTGATGCAATGGGAGGTGATCTCGCCCAGGATAATAACCGCCAGATTCAACTCCAAAGGAAGGAAAGTGTCAATTATACAAGGCTATGCACCGACAAACAATGCAGACCTCGGAAAGAAAGAAGAATTCTACAGACAACTGCAGACAACAATGGACAATACTCCGGCTGGTGACATTGAAATACTAATGGGAGACATGAACGCCAAACTGGGATCAGACAACACAGGAAGGGAACTCATCATGGGTAGAGAAGCTCTGGGAGAAATGAATGAAAACGAAGAACTCTTCGCCGACCTCTGTGCCTTCAATGAACTAGTGATTGGTGGCAGCGTACACAAACATAAGGATATCCACAAGGCTACATAGGTGTCACCAGATGGGTGAACCAAAAACCAAATTGACTTCATCTCAATCTCAAGGAAGTGGAGGCGCAGCCTACTGGACACAAAAGTAAGAAGAGGAGCAGACGTTAGCTCAGACCAATACCTCGTACAAGGGACAATCCAAATCAAATTAAAAGCTTTCAGAGAATCAGGAGGTGCAGATAGACCACAAGCCAAGTTCAACACTCAAAAACTGAAGGACCAGGACACAAAGGACATCTTCACTGCAAGTATAAAAGACAAAGCCGAGACACAAATCAACACTGGCGAAGAGGTCAGCGTCGAAAAACACTGGGACAACTTGGAAACAGTGTGGAGTCAAATCTGCATGGAAGTTCTAGGCAGAAAGAAGAGACAGGACAAACAGTGGCTCACTACGGACACTTGGAGACTAATTGAAGAGAGAGGGATGGTGAAACAAAAGATTCTCCAGTGCACCGATGAGCAACAGAAACAGGAGTTGAATGCAAACTACAAGACACTGAACAAAAGAGCAAAGAAGAGTGCCAGAGAAGACAAAAGAAAGTACTATGAAACCATGGCAAGTGAAGCAGAACAAGCTGCAGGCAAAGGAGACCTCG